AGAGTGTAAGACCTGAACACAAAATCACATCATTCTAGCTCATGTATGTTTTAAAAAATTAGTCTGATCAATTTGTATGAAACCTCTGAACAGATTCTTTCCTACTGAATTAATTCTGTTGAGTACTTTGGTTTTCTTTTTAACTTAATCAAGTTAAATTTATGCATAACAGACAAAGATTGAGTCCCACCAGCATAAGTGATTTTTTAAAAATACGTTTCAGATAAGCTGATCCAGTTTTTTGCTTAAATCAATATTGCGTGAGACCTCAACTACAAGTCTGACCTCAGCTGTGACAGCTTAAAATGCGGATTAGTACGGTTTTAATCTACAGCTTAAAGACCCAGATGCCAGATTCAGGTCTGCTGAAGAGTCGGTACTGAAACTTCAAGAGGGTTTGAGTCAGTTAGAACTAAACCATCTTAGACGGAATAAAATTTAGGCTTCACTTAAGATGCCTGTTAGAGTAGGGCAAAGAATTCTCAACTGTCCTGTGATCACCTGGCTCTTCGGGGACACACAACCCTATCAATCCACTGCGAGTCACTGTTTTAATTTTTGGAAGCTGCTAACACAGAATTCAAACCCTTACAAAGACTGTTTACTACCGACGAGAGACTAAACACGACTAACCCTCAACACGGCCTTGTTTTTCCTCCCCTTTTGCTGTACAGCTCGCTGATTTGTACGCAGCTGCTGCAACAGAGCGGGCTTCAGGGCAAACAGTGTCTCTGTTAACCTGTCCAGAACCTCAGTTACTCATCCGGACATAACTGCAGCTTCTAGCATTTTGCAAGCTTCTATACCACTGCTAATCAGCTCAGAAGGATACCATCCCCCCGCACAGTGGCTCCAAAACACACTTGCTGTCTTCAAGAAATGTGTTTATCCCGACCTTTTCCTCCCTTTGTTTTTGATTCTTGCACAGTGACATCAGGCATAAAGAAAGCGGACAGTTTCCCACACACACCCTCAAAGTCCTCCACTGGCACAGACCAGCCACCACCCACATGACTTTGGCAGCTAACTATAAGATAAAACAACAGGTTAGCAAGGTACACCGTGTGCCACGGAATTACTTGCTCTGTAGGTGCAGCATCCTCCATGATACACACTCCAATGAGTGAAGCCAAACACCTACTTCTTTCTTCCACTGAGTGTTAGCAGTCAAAGAAACACAGCTTGAAAGGGAAAGACAGCTCACACAAGGATGGAACTCGGGAGAAAAAAAACCTTAAAGTCCATTTCAAAGTACAAAAGAAGCAAAGAAGTCCCAGCTCTTCATATGGGCACACACCACCCGCTACAGAACAGAAAATAGGGCATTTTCATGGTTCACTCCTGGACACGTGTTTTTTATGGTCCAAACTACCAGAAAGCCTCGCTACAATTCTTTACAACAACAGGATAAAAGGAGCATTGCTCCCCATCCAGGATGCATGGTACAGGGTAGTCTGGCTCTGTTGCTGGGGCTACGTTTTCTTAAGTTCTCTCCAGCAGCTGAGAGGTACTGGGATGGTGCGAGAGAACTCAGGGGTGAACCACAGCTTACTGGAAGGAAGCAATAACTACATTAGTCCTCTTGCCTCTCCTTCCTTTCTTCAGCTGCTTTCCTAAACGGACATCTTTTCTCC